TGTACTGGTGATGTCAAGATGTGTGCTACAGTAACCATCTCTCTCTACCAAGTCTTCTGGTTGCCATGAGAAGTGCTTGACTAGAAGTAGATGACAGTAAATAGAGAGATTTAGATTAACATTTATGGTGAACGCCAAAGGTCACATTGGCCTTTATGGTTGTTTAAAAAATTTAAAGCAAGCCAAAAACACTTTAAAAGGAAAAATGATGTGCTCATGCACAAAAAAAATTCTATACAAATGTGAAAGACAGGAGTGTCAATATATGGTAAATATACTTTTACTCATGAACAGACCAGAAATGAGTGGCCAAATGAATGGATTTTTGTTCTTCTTTACTTGCATAAGTGTSTGAYGTGGCTGGTTTGCGGTGTGGTGATACTTATTTGTATCATTTTGATGTGTTTATTAGGATCTTGGTGCAACATCAAAGGACTTTGCTTCTCGATCAGGAAAATACACCATGGTAAGTAACAGAGATTCATCGSTGTGTTATAATTTATTGTATCCCTTTCTATATAGTACCTTGTTGTTAATTTTTTAAAATCTTTTTTTGTTTGATAAACACAAAAAGCTATAAAAAGAAACTAGTTTTCCTACAAATCCTGGTGTTTTGTTGCGTAACTAAATTTTTACTTTGTGTTTAAACTCTGACACAAAATGACTATAACACGGCTATTTTCGTAATTGAAACATAATTATTAACATTTAAAGAATACTGTACTAAGAACAATACACAGCAATTTTTACTCTTACACTTGTGACATTTTTTTCAAATTTTTGTTAGAAAAATTAAATTATTCAGTGCTCTTTAATATTTTTCCATTTCTTCATGTGTGTATTCTATTTCTGTTTTTTTTATGTACTTAATTTTTTTCAAATTTAATTATCTTCTTGTTGATATTAATAGTAGTACCACTAATCTTTGTTCTTATTTTTAAATGTAGGATCTCATTATTGGTGATGCTGTCATTCAAAATCCTTTAGAGTGGAATGTAGTAAGTACCTCTCCACCTCAATATTCTTGTTATTGTGATTAAATGCCATTCTGTTTTTAGTAGAGCAGAGTCACATGAACCATGAAATAAAAACTAAAAAGTACTAACTAATAGGCAATATAAGTTCCTAATAGTCATTAGCACTGAACCAGAACACTTTATTTGATCCAATAAGCAATACCCAASAGAMCACTWTAAYAATCAAAGYAATCTCTTTGTACTGTTCTGGTTCAGTGATAGTGTCTAAATAGTGCCTATTAGTWACTAAGTATTTAGTTTCTATTTCTATTTCTACTCTGCTCTAGAGTGGTTTTCATTAACCCGTGAAACACACTTTAGCGTATTTATCGCTATTACACTTTGGCTC